CATAAATTTCTTACATGATTAAAGCCCCAGAGCAAACACTGACCAACTGAAAAGGGCAGGAAGACATTTTGCAGTTCCAAAGTAACTTTTAAGTGAAATGTCTTAAAACTTATAAGCATTATAATTACTCCAGTTCTCTGAACCCAGAAGTAACTTTTAGGTGCATAAAAAGGTATCCAAACCTGCACTCAGTTCAGATGCCTTCGTGGCACTGCCCAGCTTCTCCCTTGAAAGTGTAACACTACATATCTCCTTTATAGTAAATTCTACCTCTACTTCTGCACAACCATCTAGGTATCTCTACTAAATTCTTTTCATTAAGAGCACAAAGAAGCAAGGACCACAGAAGCGAGTGGTCAGGACCCAGCTTCCCAGGGACAAAGGGTCACAATGCCTGAGGACCAGGGAAAGCTGAAATACAAGCTGCAGTCTTGGAAAGTCACAGCCACCTGCCCCACCAGAATGCCCCAGTTTTGTGTCTTGCTGATTTGTTTTTGAGAGCAGTGCTTTTCTCACTTTGGTGGAAACAGACCCCAAGGACCACCTGCAGGGATTCTGAGCCTACAGACCTGAGACAGGATGCAAAATTGTTCGGTTCTCACAAGCTCCTGACCAGCACTGAGGCCTTCTTCTTTGGATCACTCTTTGAATAACACTGTTCTAGAATCTTCAGACACAGAGAAGGATACGGGCAGGGTTGCCCTGTGAGTGGAAATCTAATTGTTGAACTATATTTTCTCGTGCTAATGGCTGTTTAGATGAATAATTTACGGAATTTCATGAGCTGACAATTTAGTCTTTGATTGTTGTGGGTTTTCTGACTGACTTAAGTCATTGTACTTTTGCATACCACAATCATTACCTCAAAATGGACTACTTTTTAAAGACAAAAAGCCTCTTTATGGGTTTTGTTTAGAAAATAACTCTGAGATAGGTAATAACACTGCAAATGCAAAAGCGCTTTCAACAGTCCCATTCCACTGACCTAGGTTCCTCAGGGCCTGGCAGTCAGCATAGACACTCTGTGCCTGTACAAACAAAGAAGCAAGACTTAAGCTCCAGATAAAGGCAGTGAGGTGCTGGGGTCACAGGTAAGCAAGAGAGAGAAGGGGAAGAAATGCAGGGTAAGCTGCCCTTGGCATGAAGTAGAAGGGAATGAGTCTAAAAAATAAGGAGGAAGAAGGCAAAGAAGAAGACGGAGAGAAATAAAGGAGAAGGGGAAAGGGAAGGAAGGAAGGAAGAAGAGGAAAGGAGAGAATTTATTCAGTTATTCAGCATTTAGGACTGAATGTCCCTTAAAAGCTGGACAAAATAACAAACATATGCCTGAAGCTTATGAAGAATAAAAGGGAAGACACACAGTTTCCTTCCTGTTCTGAAGCAACCTGCCACAAAAGATCTCTTATAAACTAAAAGTCTTCATTGTCCTGGGTAAAGCTGGCAGGTGAAAAGGCTTACACACACACACACACACACACACACACACCCCTTCAAGCATTCTTCAAGCACAATTCATATGGTAAGTCTAATTGTTACTGGATAAACAGGAAAAAACATATCAAATTAACAAACATTAGAAATCCTTACAATGAAGCTATCAGCAATTTCAAATTCCATTTCATTTGTTAGCTTAAATAAGGAGAGAGAAAGAACACTTAGAAAGTGATTTCCTCTCAGACCTTCCTGGAAACTGTTCCTCTTTGTACTACACTGGTAAACAAATACGATTGAAAAGAAAACCACTCCAAATATTTACCTTCTAGATAATTTCAATGCTAAGCCTTAAAAACTATCTAAATTACTTCCTTTTTGCCTGAGATTTGAGCCCACTAGGTGCCTTGCTAAGAAGGGACCTGGACAAGGAGGGCCCTTTGGTCCCTTTTCTGGTTGCTGAAGTCATTCCAGCTTTGAAGCATTTTACATAACCCTGCAGGCAGCACTGAGTCGAACCACCTGCTGTCCGTGACCTGTTATTGCCCAGGCTCGGTGCTTGCTACACTGAAAACCTTAGGACAAAGGAGTGGAACAGAATCCAACCTCCAATGCATCCTGCTCCTACTCCTGATCCTCCACATAGAGGTGAGGAAACGGAATTCTAAGAGACTGGGGGGCTCCATCAAGGTAACCCCACCATCCTGCAGCCGAGCTGGGTCAAAACCGGGAGCACCAAGCCACCTATCAGCTAGTGCTCTGCATTTAATCCCAAAGCAGGTTCCTGAATTAAATAGAAACCATGCTCTAAACTAAAAGCAACTGTTCTGCTCCCAGATCAATTAGGACTTCTAATATTGACAAGACAGAGTTTAGAAGGAACGCTGGGTGCCAGATTTCTGTCTGAAATCTTGAGACCACCTAGTGTGTAGCCAGCACGCTGTATTTTTTTTTTTCCTGTTACAGTTGGTATGCGCGCCAGGCTTTTCAGAGTGCTTTCTCCATCAGGAATTGACGGTGTCTTCTTTATCTTTGTTCCCCTTCCCAGCTGCATAGCACAGATTCTGCACATACTGATATTAAGCACATCATTTTCAAAACGAAAGAGTGCCCCAAACACCCAGGCATAGCAAGGATGGCAAAGATGCTTTATGGATTGAGAAACAGGTAAAGTAATCTTTTGGATTTTATTAAATAGAAAACTCGAGGAGGGCTGCTAGACGATCAAACATTTTTCTGGAGCCCACTCAGGAACTCTTTACTTCTCATGACATTTGATTGTCTTAATCAGAAGCTCCACACACCTCTCATCAACACTGCACCTCCTAAGGGACCAGCACAAGCACAATCCCTCTGGAAAAGCTTAATCGGGCTAATTGAGTCATACACCAACCCAAATTACTTAGACTTTTAGAGAGTTGTCAACACCCTTTAAACTAACCTGGGCACTAACTCTCCTTAGCTTTCACAGAGTAGTAAACACTCAGTTTAAGGCTTTAAATTCTACCAAGAATCCCTCAGTAAAGATCCTTTTCTTCTCAAGGACATTCACACTACCGTTTTTTTTTAAAAAAAATTCCGTACTAAACAGAAATTAAAAAGCAGAACATCAGACTCCCAGAAAGATCATAGAACTTCAAAGTTCAAAAAGCCTGTTTCTGTAGTCATTGTACAAAGCAACAAAGTGGTGTCAACTCATAACCCCTTAGTAGAATCCTCATCTCAGAAAAGGCTTATTACATTCCCAGAAACCAAAACCATCCCTGCCAAAGCAGAGCCAAGTGTCTTCAGAGCTAGAAATCACTGAATCAAGCAAAATTAAATCTCTTAAATCTCCAGGTATTCCACTGCCACGACATAAATATATTTTAATCATCCAATCACTAACCTCACCTCCATAAATCTTGTACATAACAGTTTAATATTAAAAATGGGCTACAAAATTCACAACCTTATCCTCAAGGCACATTTATTTTGCATTTCATATGGCAAAGTATCATTTATTTTAATACACCATGCCCTTACAACACATCTTTCAGTAAAGAGTCCCAAATCCTCTAACTGTCCACTTAGTAAATTTCCTGGATGCTGGTGTCAAGTAATTCTAACCCCATTTTAGAATGAAGAAACAGCCTTGGGGATCTGAACTAAGTGAAATCAGTTGTGAGGCTGAAATAGAAATCGAACTTCAAAATGACCTTGAATCAAATCAAGCCACAAAAGAAGGTATAAATTGATAGTGACATTTACTTAGCCAAATGTGACTCAAGAGAAATAATCAAAATATTCTCATTTTTTAAGAAAGCATTACTGCCAAATCCTAAATATTATCTACCATACATATGCCATTAATTTGGCAAATTCATTGTGTAAACGTACTGTTTGGAGTATGACCAGATGTTATATATGCTGTTTTTCTATGCTACTTTATTTTCCTGCCTAAGTATAACTGCTGAAATATTTAGGTAACTCTTTGCCTCACAAAATTACTTGTTACAATATGTACTTATTCTTAGATTTTGATTTTAAAATCTATTCAAAAGCACTCTTTAATTAGTTTATTAGGAATCAGGGCAGAGTTGGAGGGAACTGTTCAAAAAGTTGAAAGCAAACTCACTTCTAATACCTTCTAAAAATCACAGTGTCACCGTCAAGACCCTTCAACTATCTTGTGACTAAGCCAGCTGCACAGTGCCCTAATTGTACCAAACCATGTTCCCCAACTAAGTGGAAACAACACACCAGCTCAAAGCTTTCTGCTCCCAGATCACTTTGGACTCCCAGCACTGGCCTGACGTACTCAAGAGGAACCCGGAACGTCTGTCTGAAACCTTCCTGTCCCTTCACAACATCTTCTCTCCTCCCACCTCTGCTCTGCCTCTCCGTGCACCGAATGCCGCCTGGGATTTCAAAGCCCAACAAATCTAGACTTGCTCATGAAGAGAAAAAAGAAGAAAGTTTGACTAATGACAAATTACCCTCCCCACGCTGAAATACCCACAAGCCCTTCTGTCTTTGTAGGAGACAAAAGATTAACAGCTGAGGAAAGAAGAAATGGAAGATGAGGGAAAGCAGAAGTTGTTTTCTATTCAGAAACAATACAATGCGGCTAAGTTAGTAATCCCTCAAAAAATAAAAAAAGACAATTCAAAATTCTGTCAACTCAAGAGAAAATGAAATGCACAAAATATTCCTAGGAGGTAAAGATTCCGCCCCAGGTCCTCTGGTGGAAAGGGAGGGGTCAGTTCATTTTATAAACAACATCTGGAATAGAACCCAGATTCTTGCAGCTCATCAAAGCCTATACTCCAGACTCCGGTACTAAATCTTCTCTGACTAAAATTGCTGAGAAGATGAAGGCTTTTTGGGACTAGACTTTGAACCAGAAAATAGAAAAGGAAAACCTCGGCCAAAGCATTAAATTACCCATTTTCTTATTTTTCTGTTCTTTTAGTCAGGAGGCTCTGTGAGCGCAGGACTTAAAACATCTGTAACCCCAGCCCAGTACATGGAGGCTGGGAGGCACTTGGACGATTTACTACCATGCAATGGGACCAGCGTCTACTTACACTTATGAGAGAGAAGCACATCAAAGGAATCTGCCCACCTCGTAGCCTCCTCAGTGGATAATCTCCTAGGAAAGAAGACACATCTTTTTAAAATGACCTCTTCCTCCTCAGCCACCACAAAGATTTGCTCAGGAGGACAAATTGGAACAACGGGGGACAAATGAAGACTACAGCTGGAACCCTGCAATTCTGTTGCTGTAAATTTGTACATCCTTAAGTAATGGTTAGAAAAACCTCAGGGTGCAAATTCAGGGTATTGGTTTTCAATCTGAACAAAAGCTAAGTAACATTATGACTTAAAGACGTCATGGGAACACCAGAAAGAAACTGCTGTTGGAATAAGAAAAGCGAGACTCAGCCCATGACTCTGTCTCTTGCTGTCACCTTGAGTTCTTCGCCTCTGAAAAGGGAATAATGATGCCCATGCCAGAGCTGGGTAAAGGTGAAACGAGGTGACATCTGTGACATCATTTAATACAATTCCTGCACAAAACAGGCGCTGAATCCAGATTATCTGCACCTAAGCATATTTTTAGAGTAGCTTTCAATGTTTATTTCCAGATTGAGAACTCAAGTTGACAACTAAGTAGAACCAAGCAGTATCCTTCGACACCCCCAGCACCTAGAAGATGCGTGACACGGCTCTCCTAGGAGGAGAAGGGCCCCCATGCTGACACAGTGAAGCTACGCCTTCCTTCAACTCACATCAGGGATATCACAGGAGCTGCTGAGAGGCAGTAATGCATTGTCCTTGGTTATCTGGCTGCCAGCTCACTAGAGAAGACTAGGTTATACAACTCAGCAGCCCTTGGTGGGCATCCTACTGGGGCTCCATACTACTCACTTGAGAGCACGGTTGGGTTTGTCGGGAAGGATAGCTGTGAAATCACTGCAGGAGTCTGACTTGTGAGACAGGCATCCCAGTCGAGTCCTCATCCCTTTGTTCCTGAAACAAGCATGGGGCAGAAGGGATCATAGCCATCAGCTCTATAGAGGGCTCTGGAGCTGCTGCTGCAGGTGTCAAAGGGCATCCCCTGTCCCCACACAGGCAGGTGGCCCCTGAGGAGCTTGCAGAACAGGCCAGGAACATCTCCAGAGCCAAGGGATGGACTCACACCTTAGCCTGCCCGCTGGCATAGCAATAGGTCCCCTGCCCTGTCCCGTCCCTAGAAGATGAATGATTTCTAATGCTGACAAGGCAAGTATCAGTGATGTAGTCACTAATATGTCAGTGATGATCATTAGCTTGGAAAAATTTCTAAACTAAGATTCTCTGTGGGGAAAGGAAACACAGTGGTGACAAAATAACAGTTCACATTTTGCTTTCCCCCTTGTAGGGCCAAGGAGCAGCAGCTCCTAATTGCAAAATCCAGAAGTCGTCCTCACACTCAGAGTAGAGGAGGATTTGTGGAACACAGGGCACAGCGCAGAGAGCTGCAGCACAGACCTCGGGGCAAGTGACCCCCACAAAGGTTCTCCCCACTCATCCTCACCCGGACAGGGCACAGATACAGAAGGCTCAGCCCAGCAAGAGTGATTCCTGCAGTGAGGCAGAGGGCAATTGACACAATCCATAATTAAGAACCAATATCCCCTCTGTCAATTCTTCTATGTGGTTAACCAAACTCTTCTATGCCTATTTATATTTTGACTTGTCTCAATAAGTACTTTTAAAATGTTAAGGTATATGTTGAAATTTCTCATATAATTTTGTTTTCCAAATGACCCTCGCAATGACAGGATCCAGTGACAAATCATACTAATGTTTCTTTCCTGCTTCTAACAGTAGCCCCTGTTTCCCTTTAACCAAGGACTGGCAAGCTACGTCCCCACAAGGCATCTGTTTGTGTACATGGAATTTGATTAGAACATAACATCACTGTTCCCATATTGTCCAAAGCTGCTTTCAAATACAAGGGCAAAGTTAAGTAGTTACAACACAGACCAGGTGGCCCACAAAGCTAAAAAATATTTACTCTCTGGCCCTTGACAGAGTAGACCCCTGACCTTTAACCACGGTAACCTCTCATGTTGAAGGCAAAGGTGAGTGAGAAGAACTGTCACCAAATCAGGACTCCAGACTGATTTATAAAAGGGAACTGCCACGTGGGCACTGGTAGCAACGTGCCAGGGAAAGGGTCCTCGCAGATGCCATTGTCCATATTGAAAGCAAGTCCTTCAAGCAAGTCCTGGATACTTTTCTCCTTTTTTACAAATCCTAGAATTGAGCAGAGACCTTAGAAGTCATACAATCCAGTTACTTCTACATACTTCAGATGAATTTCCATCCCTGATCCTGGTAATTGTCTTTGTTGCCAGAAATCTTATCCAACAAATGCCTACTGGGCTGGCATTATATTTGGCAGGAATGGACAACATTTGTATTCCACAGCACATCTCTGAAGAACCTCTTAGGGCTAGAATATCCAAGTTTCCAGAAATAACTTCTCTCCTGCAGAAAAATGGCCTGCACCTCGTCAGCCAGGACATTCTGTGAAGCCATCTATTTCATGGCATTTCAATACCCTGGCTATAGGTATTCTTTCTGCTGACATCAGGAGCATGTATGTGTCCACTCACTCCTTAAAATCACAGATACTCACCACCAGGCCACACAAGCAGCTGACCAAAGGCCCTTGAGCCACCACCTTCCATGAGTCCAAGACAGGTCCTGTTCAGGCCTCATGAGGCCAGAACCCTACATACAGTCAACTAGTTCATTCCTCAGTGCCTTAGGATCATCAGTCAGCTCACTGAACCCTGAAGAACAACTAAGAGAACTCTCAAAAAGCAGCAAATCCATGGATGCCACTTAACAAGATTTAGCAGGAACCAATGTAAGGCTACTACTTGTTACCCAGTCATCGTGATTTTCCCCGTTTGTAAGTCTTCAACAAAATACAGTTTGAGACAACATTGTTTTTATTTTCCATCTTTCCAGGTACCTAAACTGGACTCTTCCTAGATAGATCTAAAACAACAGGAACAGAAGCAAGTGTCAAAGTTCAAGTTCCATGTAGCATTCTCCTCTGATGTCTTCTCTTTATAACCCCTGGCCCAGAAACTTGTAGAGGTCCTGAGTGATTCCATACAAGCCCATGCACCATCCCTCACCCCACCCATAAGTCACTGCCAAGAGGTCCTGCTGGTCAGTGCACAGAGCTCAGGTCAGCCCTGCTTGCAAGCCATGACTTTGCAAGAAGCACACAGCATCACCAGGGCAATTCATGCAGGTGGCTTGGGGGACAGGCATGAGAGGACCACCCAGAGGTCTAAAGGCTTGGGCCAAAAGTCAGGAGAGGTGGGGAGGTGGAGAAAGAGGAGAGAGACAGGGACAAGGAAACAGGTCAGGGATCCATTACCTGCGTGGCATCAGTAAGGCAGCCATACAGGCATTCGGTTATCGTTAACCCTTGGGCTGGTTTGCAGGGACGTCAGAGCAGGAACCCAGACCACTGGGCTCAGGGATTTACCCTTTCACTTCCTCTCACCTAAAATCAAAGAATCTGCTGTAAGAGGAGCCACCCTCTCTCACTGGACTGCCCAACATGTCCTTCAGCTGGTTCTTTACCAAAGGAACTCCTCCCCATGCACAAACACCCCAGCCCCCACAAGCACCCGCTGCTTCTCAGCAAGGGCAACCAACCAAGGATGGAGAAGATCAAATAAGTGGCTTTGCACTGCGGACTGTTGGTCAGGAGTTTCTACTTCCCCAGCCACTGGCCATCAACAGAAATTGGGACATGCGCCCCCAGGGAGGCATGAGCCTGGAAAACCAAAAATTACTGTTGTCTTTTTCTTACTAGAGTGGGGCCCAAGTGACCAAGCAGGAGGGGAGGGTGGGGAGCCAATACTTGCTCCAAAATAACTTGATTGACTCCTGCTGTGCTTCTCACCTCCCTCCAAGTGTCCTGCCCTGGGTGGGTGGCTGTGGATACCTGCGGAAGGTGGGAACCAGAGGGAGGTGGGACTGACTCCAGGGGGCCTTGGCAGGTACCCTCTCCACAAGGGCTCGCTCCTTTGCAAAGGATCCCTGGCACAGACTGAGGAAACGAGCATGCAGGTCATCCTTTCTCACCCATGTGGAGGCTGTGTGACCCTCCTCAGCCTCCTGACCCATTCCTGACCGGAAGCAGGGAGGACGTGGGGTGGGGGAAGGGGATACTGAGGTTGATTGGACTCTCTCTCCTGAGGGTCTCGGTGCTTCAGGCCCTTTGTTCCCACAGAGAGAACTGATAGGAAGAAACACATGAGGGGAACAGCCTATCCATAAAGGATTCCCCTGGGGGGACTCTGACACCGCGCATAAAATCCATTTTCAAGAAAACCTAATTTAGATAGATAAGTCACCTATGTGAGCTGCGCCATTAATAATGCTTTGATATTAGCCTGAACATTTCACAAATACTTTTTCAAACTGCTTTGCTAAGAATGCTATAATTAATTAAAATAAGTGTTTTATGAAAACTAAAAAAAGAAAAACATTAGGTTTTATATCAGGTCTCATCCCCATGGATTGTGTTCCCTTGAAAACAGAGACATTTCTTCAGTCACTGTCCTAACTAGACTAGTACCTGCTTGGCCAGAAGTCAGGAAATCAATGCCCTTTACAGCTATAAGGGTCCCTTGAAAATCAGGTTCGGGTCACCTACGTCTTATTTCCTCTTGCTCGTGTGATATCTTCCAGCAGAGGGGCCTCATTCTCCTGCAGTGGAGCAGAAGCAGATACTACTACCCACACGGAACACAGCAAGGTCATTTAAGGCAGGGGTCATTTAGGGCAGTTCTCTGTCCCTACCTTGTCACCCTAGCTATTTCCACTGCCAGCTCACACTGGCTGGCCCATGCTGTTCAGATGCCTGCCTCTCTCTTTCAAATTCGTTCTGCCCACTAACCCGCACCTCTTTGATGAGCCCAGCTTTGGGCTCCACTAAATGAGAACCAGCAGGATCCTCTGTCCCACCTGCCTGGTCCATTCTGACACATCAGCACTCTTATCCCATTTGGCTCAGGACTGATGGGAGACAGAGTAAGAGATCACCCAGAGCTCAGGACATGCAAAGGTATGATTGCCCCCCAACCATGCATGCATCCACATAAGTGGGCCCCAAGTCACAGGTGACTGGAGCAGACAGGATGAGACCTAATGAGAAAAGACAAAACTCAAGAAAAAAACAAAGGTTAGAAAGCAAAGATTTAAAAAGACGGAGAGAGAAACTAAGAACCTCAGCAGGGAGAAAGCAATCAATATGCATGAAGAGGCAAGTTAATTAAATATGGATAATGCAATCGGCACACCAGGGCACCCCGGAGAGGAAAGAGAACAGCAAAAGCGGTACTCACTGTCGCTGACCAGTTCTCATGGCCTGCAGTTCTTCGCCAACTGGATGGTCAGAGAGGCTGCGGGTTAAGGAGCTCTGAGGAAAGAGCAGATCTTTTTTTTAGCAGTGGAATTCTTGGCGGGTGGAGGGCACGTTTGCACGGACACACAGGCTCATGCATACACACATATACACAAGCGTGCATGCACACAACACACCTCCCACCACTTGAGCCAGGCAGCAAGCGGCCCCACTGAAAGCTCTTCTCTCTGCTTGTCACATCCAGTAAATACTGAAGCAGCCTACACCCGGCTGGCGGCAGCTCAGCTCCCGGGCACAGTCTGCGTGCCCATCCTCATTGGCAGGACGCAGGAGGTGCCCCTGAGCGGACTGACCTGGCACGCTGCCTGCACCTTCCTCCTCAGCCTCACTAACCTGAAGCTTCTCTGGCTGCAGCTCAGGGAGAAGTCCCCACAGCCCAGGCTGCCTCTCTCTGCACCCAGCGAAGAGTCAGTATTAACTCTTTCAGGCCACCAATGAGCTGAAAATCAAGTGTCCAGGGGGCCCCTCCTAATGAGCTCTGCTGCTGGCTGAGGGCTCCGTTGCTGCACAGGGAGCATAAAGATCTTGCCCCAGACAGCTGCTGACGGCAGGAGCCAAGCCGAATCAAATCTCCTAATGAGCCAGGAGGAGGGGGCTGTCTTGCTGGGTGTGATGTGATGTGATAAATGCAGAGAGCAAGAAAGCTGTGGGGCAGGTCACACATCTAAATTCCACCCCCTTTCTCCCAATTTCTATTGTGCCACAACTACCAAACCAATCCACACAGCCCTGAAATTACCACTCTCCACTACATCTCCGTCGTCCCTCACTCTACAGAGCCGTCTCTCCCCCCAAGCCATTTCCTCGCCTACCCCTACCAGTGCCAACCACCCTGCTTCCCACTTCTTAATGAGAAATTTCCACCTCCTCCGCCTCCCCAAACATGCATATTTCCAACCCTGTGCTCTTGCCTCTCACCTGGCTTTTCCTGCAGTAGAAACTCACCTCTCTCCCTCACCCATCACCTAGCAACTTCCCCCGCCTTGCGTTTGTGACAGTGAGACTTTTCCCTTTGTTCTGCCTCATCTGCACATCATCCCTATTTTTCGGTCCCTTCCAGTTTCTCTTCCAAACCTCCGTGCCCACATGGATCTTCACACTGCCTGCTTCTATTCCAGAAGGAAGACTCCTCGTGCTTGTCCTAATGTAGTAGTTTTCTAAGGTTGCTGCATGGGCCAGCAGCTCAGCATCACTTTGAGAATGAGTTGCACATGCCAGTTCTCAACCTCTCCTTGCCAGACATACAGCATCAGAAACTGGTTTTACCTTCCAGGTGATTCCGATGCATGCTAAAGTTTGCAAACCACTGTTCTGGGATAAAGTTTATTTTGTTTACCTCACTCTGGGTTTCTAAACCTGAGTCTCTGTATCTATTCAAGAACAACCAACTTTTTCCAAATATATGTAGCTTTTTCTGCAAGTCATTTCTGAAACCAAGAAGGTAATGGAAATCTGTACAGAAAGTGATGGCTTTAAAATAAAAGTAATAGATTCCATATATGTGACTTTGTAAAATGTATGAAGCATTTCCATGCACTGTCATTGTAAAATCCCATGCAGTAAAGAAGGTATTATTCATTATCCCATGCTACAGATAGAAAAACTGAGGCTAGACATGGTAAATGCCTTTTTCAAGGTGACATAGCACGCAAGTCAGCACAAGGACAAGAATTTGTGTCTTATGACTAACAACAGAGTTTTTTTCTGCTACGTCACGCTCGGATCCAGACTTTCTGGGCACATCTATTGGTGCATAACCTATACTGTGACAGTGAAATGATTCTGTCAAAGCTATTCATTGTCTGGTGGAATAAAAATTCTGATGCTGCCTCCATAGTGACTCATCCCTCTCTCTCTCTCTCTCTCTCTTTCTCTTCCCTCTCTTTCTCTCTCTCTCCCCCATGATGTCCACAGCACCCCTCTGCCAGGCAAAGGAAGCCCCAGATGCAAAATGAGATATGATACAAAATAAAATTTTTCTAATTTTTATGTCTCTTATCTTGAACCGTGATGCTAGCTGGAATTTAGAATTTAAGAAGACAGAGAATCCTTCACTTCTGGACACTTGTCTGGTACATTGCACCATAAGTAACAAGTGCACAAATAAAATAAAACCTTATTTATACCAGAAGGTGAATCTATATAGCTAATCGTTAATGTACACGGCTATGCACAATTTTGATAAGCATTTACTAAGTGCCAGACACTATGCTCAAGTTGCATTGGAATTTATCTTATCTAACTCACAAGAAACTTACAAAGTCAACACTTTTACAGGTGGAAAACATGAGACAAGCCATTGATAAGGGACAGGGCTGGTGTCTGATATCAAACTTGTGTTACTGAGCACATCACAGTATAATAGACGTGGCATCACCGAGGTACCCTTCTCTACCGCGCTGCAACAATAGGCCAAAGGCTTCCTCTCATGCTACTGAGTCTGATATCCAGGCTGAAAAGGCACCAGAGAGGGAGGACAGGCTGCAGATGGGCCCAAGTCTCAAGTGGAAACTGGTCAATATTAACCAGCCATCAGAGTCTGCAATTAGCCTTTAGAGAAATAATATAGTCACAGAAAGTCAATAAGTCAAATGTTCAAGTCAATTAATAAATGTTAAAGGATATATAAGAATAGAAAGAGCAGAGGGATGAAAGTGTACGACCATGCAGAAAAAGAGAAAATTAAAACCAGTTCAAACATTTCTACCAAAACACCAAGGAATCATCACAAAGCAGTCCTGCTTGAGAAACACAGACCTAAGTCTCCTTTTGTGGAAAAGTTCTAAAATCATCTTCGAAAAAGACAGGAGCATAAAATACTCCAGGGCACAACCAAGCTGAGCCTAAAGTAAAGCATTCCAGCGCGCTCATCTCCCCTAAAAGAAGCAGGCAAGGAGAGGCAGGGTCTACGTGCTCGGAGAATGGAGCAGTCCTCCTGGACTCTGCACTCCCCTGCTTTGAGCCCCGCAGCAATACAAAGGTCCAGATTTTTTTTCTGACTGCTCCTCTCAACCTAGTGGCTGGAAATAGCACAGGGCATTTCTACTGGCCAAGACTCGTGGCTTTTCCCAGGAAAATGGTGATGATGAGCCCTGTTTTGGCTGCTTGTGCTGCCCGGCTTCCCTCTGCTCTTCTCACTCCACAGCTCTCCTGTCAGGAAAACCCGCCCTCGCGCGTGTCAGTCTCTGCTCCTCTCCACAGCCCGCCGTCCGCTTCCACGGAGCTGCAGGCTGCAGCACGGAGGTCTGCTGGACAGCTCCGCACACTCGGTCTGCCATGCAGCAGCCACATTTCCTCACCTGGAACTCAGTTCCCACAAGGTTCTCTCTGTCCACAGTATCACTTCATCTTGGAGGTGACAAGTAAGGACTTTTTTGGTTTCTTTTCCCCATTCCTCTTGCTGAATTGCTTTTAAATCTCGTTATATTTCTGAAATAGTCCTTAACTCCTTTCACTGGCATTGTGTCAGTGGGGAGTCAGCTCCCAGCACCTGCATGTCCTCCCCCAAATGACCTCTCCCTTGCCCCACCCACCTGCAAATCTTCTTGCACACTACACAACCAGCAGTGACCTGGTGAGCACGCACCGTAAAGCGATCATCTGTACAATAATCTTCGATGGGTCTGCTGTATTTTGCAGCTCCTCCTTGTGCCTCGCCATTAGTTGGCCCCTTTTGCCTCTCCAGTTTTACATCCTGTTACAATCCTTTCCCTGTCTCATACACAACCATGCACCTGATTCTTCTGCTTTTTCCTCTGCTCAGGATGTCTCCCCCTGGATCTGCTTAACTCTCAGCTCCTTTTCAAAATCTGTGACCTCCAAGCTCACAATTCTTCTTTCCAATCCTTCTCAGAACTTCTTCAATCAGTAGGAATTCCTCCAGTCCCACCACCTTAACAGGATGGTTCTGGTAAGCACATCACAGTCTTAGCAAACCCTTTTGATTTATGGTTTCTGATCCCCAGAACTGACTGTCTACACTGAAAACACAGACTACATGACTTACTTCCCTTGCTATCAATTTTCACTGCTGTACATGGAGCAGGTGTTTAATAAACTGGCTGAATTTGATTTTGAGTGCATGAAAATGTCTGAAAAACCACTGTGCTTTCCTAACACCAGAAATGTGTTAGACTTCTGCAGCCTCCCGGTCAGGACTGAAGTCAACAGAATATTAATGGCATTCAGGGCCAGTAGCACCGGTACAGAAGGCTTTTTTAAAGTACCCAACAACCCAGGCAGGACATGGTAGAATTAATCTCGAGCAAAAGGAGCACCTGGTGTTGTCACACGGGCCATGAAAATGCAATTAAATTGAAGATAAAGAGAATTAAAATCCGCAATACAATATTTTGAAAAGCCACGCTAGAAGAGGAGGTTTATTGCCAAATGCCCTTGGGTATTTATTTAATCAATATACCACCTAGTTGGGTAGTAGCACATTAAAAGCTTTTAATAAGACAGTCATTTGGATATTAGATTTGAATTCTGGTCAGCATGCTCAGGCTCTTCCACAAATCTTTTAAAAGCAATTTCCACCTCATAGCTTCCTAGTAACAGCAGAAACATGAATCAACATATGCTGCATTGATTTGGGGTTTCCATGGAGACTGGAAGGACACAAGGAAGGGCAGGACAGAAAGAGGCCACTTGGCCCAAAATTCTGTCTTAAAAAAAAAATGCATCTCAATTCCATTCCTCTGAGCATTAGCAGCCTCATTTCCTGTTCATCAGCTCGAGCATCCAGATATTGAATTTGTAATAACCCTTTTCAACTGCTCCTAAGGAACTTCGAAGGGGACAGGGAGAGAGGTCAGTAGCTAAAGCTGGGAACCCATGAGGTTTGCAAAGAAAGCCAGAGAAGCACAGGATTTGGAATCAGAGGAAGAGGCCTCTGACTCTATTCTGTCATTAACTAGTTCTGTGGCACTCACTAACCTTACTAGCTCTGTGATCACCAGTTAACAAAACCAGGAGCTTTGAACTTTTTCTCA